GGGGGGAAAAAACAGAAAAGAAAAAAATTGCTGTGAGTGAGTTAGTGCGAACTGTAGTGCTGCTGCAGGCCGAACAGCCGAAAGATTTACAAACTCCTGAAACTGCTGTGGGAAAGGATTATTAGTTCCATTATCCATTTAGGAGAAAACGAGGCTAAGAAAAATTGCTTTGTCAACGAGATAACAGCACCGCGCTTACCCAAGACATGCAAGCAGCCAAGTGTCTCAGTTGGGTACTGCAATGATTTATCTAGCCGTAGCCACAAAGCTGCAGGGCACGAGCGAAGTTGCCCGCCGCGAGGCCGTATCGTTACGGCAAGACTGGGGTCCCACAGGCTCCCTTCCAGAAGTCCACGTTTCTTTCTTCTTCAAATCAAATATGCTCCGCTTTTGAAAAACCAGGTCCTCAAAGGCGAGCTGAGGGCTCATCAAGACAGTATCGCTGCCAACACGGTCACAGGAATTTAGCTGATGTCTGCTTATGGTACACGAGCCACAGATACCGCGGCTAAGACACGAGAAAACAAGTAGACATCCTGGACCGAGGTGATGACATAAACTGAAACCAAAGAAAGGGAAAGCAGTACATCACAGAAAACGTTGCCAGGCTGCAACTGTCAACCCGCTGTTGAAAGCTGAGGTGCAAGGAGAAACGCTGGTGCTCGTCCGGAAAGCTGGGATGAGGCTGCGCTCAACGCGCCGCAGGGGGCTGCCTGCCGCGTGCCAGCTCGCCAGGGGGGCAGAAGGTTAAGCCGACCCACCAAGGTGATTATGTAGCTGTAGGAACTGGCTTAGAAGCTGGGCCTCAAACCTCAACAGCCTGGCAGATTACAAGGAGAGAAAAACAGACATCTCCAGAGATGGAGAAGGAGGGAGAGAAATTGCTTACAAGAGAAAAGGCATCCGATTAGAACGAAAGAGAGGGCAATAAGATAGGGAGAAATTTTGGCGGAGTACACCAGAGAATAAATCATGACTGCGAATCTATTAAACAGAGGTTGAATCTATTAAACAGAGGTATAATCTCTCAGGGGAGGTAGCAGGAGCCCAGTTGATTAGAATCTATAAAAGTAGACTATACAAAACATTAAAACCCAGGCAACTATAAAGGAACGTCCCTATATTAACTCGGACTAGTTCTAGTCTATCAGTACTTTTCCATCTATAAATATACAAGCAAAGTTTTAATTAAGAGGAGAAAAGAATCACAGCCATGATTATCCTCCTTCACAGCTGCTCTTCCTTTGGTTCTTAATTTTATCATTGCTGCTTTCTTACATAGCAACAGTGAGATTTGGAATCATGGATGTGTATCTGAATGCATTTGAAACTAGTTTGGAAAGTACTGTGTGCAGCCAAGAGGGCCACAATGATGCTGCTTGGAAGATGTACCTGGAGAGGAGACGCATCGTTCTGGCGTTCCTGCGCACCAACCTGAGCCTCCACCTCCTCAGACGCCACCAGAAGAGAATTGAGCTTCTGAAGAAGAGTTCCTTTTACATAGAGATTCTGCCCAAGCACTTGGCCCTGGGAGACCAGAACCACCTGATGCTTCCCACAACCATGTTCCAACTCATTGACCCCTGGAGATTCCAGAGGATGAAGAAGGTGGGAACCACCCAGACTAAAATCCAGTTATTACTTTTAACTGATCTGTTAGAACAGCTGGAACGAGGTCGGGAGGAGCTGGTCTATTACCTAGAGACCTGTGATATGATAACTTTCCTCTCTAGGTGGGACTTGATTAAGCAAAGACTGTCAAACCTCTCCAAGCTGATGGACAGTTTCCTTGCCACGCTAGTGCCAGGAAAGCTCTATATCAAGCACCGTTTGGTGCCAGATGTTAGAGCTACTAAAGTCCCCCACATTAGGCTTGTTCTCAGTACAAAGATGCCAGTGGTGTTTGAGCGAAAAGAATCAGTGGCACACAAGGACTGGGCCACTCTCAAGTGGTTTAGTACAAGTCAGCAGTCACAGCCTGAACAGTATGAACTGTGTTTTAGGTTACTGGAGCATGGGACTCAGAAGGAGAGGGGCCACTGTGGGATTCTAATAGTCACCTCCAACACGTGCGAAATCCAGAACCTGCTACCTGGCAGATCATACAAATTCACGATTAGACGAGCAGAGACTTACTCACTTGTCTATGAACAATGGCATGACAGCATTACATTGAAAACAGAAACTAACCCTGACCAAGACATGGGCAGCAGCCTTTGTGAACCGGAAGGGTGAGGTCACAGACAAGGTTTTCTCATTTTATCCATTTGAAAAAGTTCAATGAGAAAAATTAAAGGAAAACCTTATTTTTAAGCATTTCACATAACACTGAGCTTGTTCTGTTTTCAACAGCAGTTTTACAAGTGCCTATCACAAACCTTTCTAGGTTAACAGCAACCCATTACAAAGTTTTGCAGATGACAATATCCTTATGCAGCAGCCAGGACTCAGCACTCATTTCCCGCTGCCCAGACCTCACAGGCAGGAGCAGCTGGAAGCAGATGGGCAGTTCTTGTGTTCTTTATCAGAACGTCTCAGATGCAAAAAAAGCATCTCTGTCATCCACTGCATCCCAGCCACCAAAAGATGGTCCATGCTGGCTTCTTGCAATGGTTGTTTTTAACCCCCTAAGTAATTTTTCCCTCTTCCTTCCTCCAAAACACCTCACCTGAATGCCAGGCTCCTGAAATCAGCCACCCCACCTTCCTTCCATCTCTGGTTCCTCTCACCCTGTACACCCCATGCCTTATAATTACCTAGTCATGATTTCATGCTCACCCCTCTACAGTGCATGAAACATTCCCTCTAAAAGACCCCCCCCCAAAAAACAAACAAACAAACAAACAAACAAACAAACAGGAAAGGGCAATGTGTCCATAGAAGCAATATCTAGAAGACAATCTTTTTGGTCACATACTGCACTTAACGCTCATTTTCTCTTTTATGGTTTGGTTCAGTCCAAATACAGTTGGGCCCGCACAGACTCTAGTCACTGTGACATAAACAGACCTTTTAGTAATAAATTTTATTATTTAAATAAATTCAAATAATTTTTACAATTATGGCTTAAATATCAAAAAGGAATGTTGAGGTTCATTCTTACAAACATTAGAAGCAGGTAAAAATATTTGTGTCCAAAATGCAGTTTGAGGTCTGCTGCAAGTCACAGACATACAAAAGATAAAAACCTGCCACATTTAAAGTTCCTTAATTTACACTTCATTACACTTAACATTTCATTTCTATTTTAAAAATACTTTATTGCAATAAATTGATCATCCTACACAGATCTGTCCAAATCCTCCAAAACCATCCTCTAGGCTTCTCCTTTGCCAGCTGAAGCCAAAGACTTTTCCCAGTTCTGTATGTCTGTAATTTCACCACAAGTCAGAGCAGGGTGCAGGGCGGTTTCTGTGATCACAGACTGGTCACAGCACAGACCAGGGCCTGCAGCGGTTTGCTGTGCGTACAGGTCCCCGCTGTTTAACTCACGGTCGAGCTCTAGCTAGTGCAGAGCAAATTAAGTCATTCTGCTGGATGAATGCACCTGTGTCTCCCTGAAACAGGGTTCTTGCGTCCATGAGCTGCATTAGTATTGTGATCACACAAGCCTGTGCACCAGGTTGACAGTGATTTCCTACTAGAATTACAAAAGGGTCTTTTTGTTGCTTTGTTTTGTTTTGAGTGTTATAAGAATATTTGCTTTCACAGAAAATTCTTTCAAAAGTAAATTCAAAGCTCTGTGTGCAAATGAAACCAGACTACTTTGAACTTTTTTTTCCTGTACTAACATCTATGATTCTAGCTATCCATGAGCATAAAGACAGGAACACAGTATCCATAACACAATATTCAGTCACCATTAACAGTCTAGAAAAATTTTCAATGAATTGCACTTTCTGCTATCCCTGACTATTGCAGCTACATGACCAACTCTGCAGTTACCTGTGCACAGCACAAACAGCCTAGGCCTGGGGGCTGGCTGTCACTGCTGTTTGTGTGGTTTAGGAGAACATTTTCTAAACACAAGTTATAAAACGCATCTTCAGAGACAAAAGTCAAGATACTGTCTTGCAACACAGAAGTGACTCAACAAAGCATTTCATTCTAGGCTTTATCTTCCAAGGAGTAGCAGTAAACATTTTTTTTCCCCGGTGCAGGCAAAGGGAAGTGGGGGTTGGGGGGGGGGGGGCTTTTTTTTGATGAGTATTGGACTAAGCCACTAACCTTCAGGTGAGTCTCCTCATTTGTGTTAGATGTAATGAAATAACCAGCAGAAAATCAAGGGAGGGACTCTTCATTTACATTAGATGATGAAAATGGGGCCCACTGGTTCTAAAGGGAGCAGGATGAGTTTGTTAGACTATCTGCTGACTGCTTGCACCCTGCTGAAGTATTTAACCTAAGGATGCCAGCAGCTTCTGCAATCCTCCACAGCGCCTTTGAGATGACTGCACTTCAGTAGTCCACAAAATGATTCCCATATAAGCTTATTTTGGAATTGCAATAATATTTGCAAAATAAGGCTGGTGTGAAATCCTTAAGATTCAGCGTGCGATGGCTTCAGGGAGGAACCATGAACATCTGCCTTGATATCTTACCAGTTTTTATTGAGCATCTTTAGAACCAGTGGAGTTACTTCCTACAGGCTTTTGTCCCATGTGGAATTTCAAGCCATACGCTAGTTGTTATGCCTCAGTAATATAAAAGCAAGCCTAGGAAGTCTCTAGCGTACAGCTCGAATCCACCAGGTGCAGAAGTGCAGGGAGGCAGTTTAAAATAAGGAAAAGAGGAACAAATTTTCTCCATAGATTCTTGAATCAAGTTTAACACAGAATCAGAGCATGAAAAGGAACACAGCATTACAAATGGATTTTTTTCAGACACAGTGCTTTCTTATTGCACGTTCCTTCACATTGGGAAAAGAGCCCTGCTGCATTTTTAGTGCAAATATAGGACCAAATTCATCCCTGCCGTTACACCATGAAGTCATGGGGACCCATCATTTATGCCAGGGATGACTCTTGTCCAGCACAATATACATTTGGTGCAAAAAAAATGCTGTGATTGCATTTTGGCTCAATCCCATGTGAGCATCCAGAGACAGTCATGCATTTGGTCTCACGAAGAGCTGAGGCAGGCACTTCATACATTCAGAACCGGAACGAGTTAAAAGGTGCTCCCCTGAAACTACCACGCTGCAAAAAGCACCTCCATGATTCAGTAGGGAGCCCCACTTCACCACATCACCATACATCTGTATCAGCTGTAAGTCATGGGCAAATGCAGCCTTCTCTAGTGAATCACAATTTCCAGTTCGCAGCAGTTTGGTTACTTAAAATAAAAATAAAAAAATACATTATACACATATACGTCATGATACATTTATCAAGTTTCCAACACTCCTCTTAAAAGCTCAGGCCATCAAGTGTGAGACAAAGTTCAGAGTTAAAAGTTAATAAATTAGAAGCAGCTTTAAAAAAATAAGGGGTAGGAAAAGGGTTTCTTACAGGAAGAGAAAATTTCAAATAAAATCCCGAACAGTTTAAAATACATTTACAAATTTCAAAGTTTCCAGGTAGGAGCAGTTCTCAGTTTTCAGTAACTCTATATGGTGAGGATAACTTCCTTCTTTGTACAAAGAGTAAGCAAATCTATTTACAAAATCAACTTGGCCTTGGCTCTGTGATATTTATAAGCTCTGAGAACAGCATTTTGGCTAGATAAAGAATGTTACGTGGTTCTCTTTTTGCTTTCTTCCTTCACTTAAAAAAAAAGCTTTTCTGCTTCAAGAAATAAGAAGTCTTAAAAATTCCCTGGCCTTGGTTTTAAAATGAGTGGTATAACTCAGAAGCTTTGGTCCTGTATGGCAAATCACAGCTTGCCTTGCAGATCTGTTGCATGCAGTCATTCAGCTTTTGATGAACGGAATGTAGATTAGGTCCCCAAAGCATAGCTGCACAAAGAAATAGGATGGCGGCTCCGCTGAGCGTCTTATAGTTAAAAAAACAACATCATCATCAATAAAGTCACAAGCCCATCCATCCATTCCCGTTGCTTTTTGGTTTGCTAGAGCTGAAAGTTCCTGTCCAAAGTTGCACTGACAAAAAACCCCAAAACCCAAAGCACACACTGAAGCCTGAGCTGTCAACGTGCAAGGAAAGGTCTAGGCTCTCTTAGTGCATTTTGCTCAATGGTTAATGTTTGAA